TTGTTATTTTGGTAAACGAAGGCGATTTCTCCTGCTCGGCGCCTACGCGTTTCTCACCTCTTCTGTTCATGTTCCTTTGGATACTGTTTTTAACCAAATATGATAAAATAATGTGATAAAATGGTTAACGTTTGCTCAAAAAGAGGTTTTCTGTAAAAGATCGAGGAAACACAAGGCAAGATTAAAACGGATTTCCAGATGTATCCGGCGGGTACATTTGATTAACGCTTTTCAGACTGGCAAAAGTAACCGAATAGGCTGCACATTTTACTGCGATGATCATGTTCACTTTCATACCTTCATCCGCAGTTCAAAACAATTTATGAATCATTTCATATATTTCAATTCGTGCTTACAAGATCTCCATAATTTTATGTAAACGCAACCTTTCTATGGGACCTTCATTCAAGGCCAGAACTAACACTAACCGCCAAACGGAAACTGCCTCATGCGAAAACTTTTAAAATTGACGGGTTAGTTTTAAAGGCCTCACTGGATCTGGATGGAGTTAAATTCAAATGTAAGCGAAACACTTGCAATATTTGAAAGAGCACTTGAGGAACACGATACAGTACTGGGAACTAAATACTTAAACAATGTCTTAAAAATAAAGCTATTTTTTATTTCCCTCTGAGACACCTGGAGAATAAAATTCTCACAGAGCCACAGCCTAAAAAGGCTAAGCTGTTCTGTTGCATCCGGAAGGCCAAACTGTTTTACTTAATGCTGGACATGCACTATCTTAGGATTAGTTTTGTTTGTAAAATTAAAGGCTGGTCATCACCATCTTCTCTCAACAACACTACAATGCATTCAAGGAAGTTCTTAACAATTATACAGGGGCACCCAACGACAATTTTCGGAAAATATCTGTTCGGAAGACGATTTGATATCTAGAATTTTCGGAACATTTTTTGTAAAATTTCTTGCTTACCTGCCGCTCCTAGGATTTTCGAACATCTAAAAATGGTATAATTGACAATTTTTCAGGGATTTTTACCCTAAAAAGGACACCTGGAATTTTCGGGAGCCTTTTTTCTGGCCGGAATTTTCGAACAGGTAAGTTTTGATCCCTATAAATTTCGGATCACTAGACTTTCAGCTAGGAAATCCGAACAGACGAAAAATTTTTAGGGGATAAAAATATGCCTATATTTACCGTTTAAATACTAAAATACGTTTAACAATGCTATGTTTAAGTGGTTTTGAACTATATTCTCGTTGGGTGCCCCTGATTATACCATCTATTATTGCATCACAAGTTGTGAATAACTTCGAGTACCTTTAAATCGTCGCATAAGAAACAAAACTCGATTTCAATTAAAGCACAAATTCTCATCATTAAACTTAAAAAAACAAAACAAATACAGACATTTCAAACTGAGATTCGAGTCACCGCAAAAACACAAACAAACCTAAAACTCACAACCACATGAGTTTGAACAAAGCTCAAAAGTGCAATTGCTTTGTTTACTAAAAATCTCTGATTCATGTGGTTACACTCCTCATACCCTTAAAACAATTAACTTCACATATTTAATCAGTGTAAAAATATCCACTACGATCCACACTTAAAAACTGAACTGTGACTGAACTGAACTTTTTCAGTGCGATCAGGCGTAAGAAATAGTGGTCTCCATCAACATTCTCCATGAACATTACACTTTCACACAATTAGCAGTTATTGAGAATTTATAAAATTATCGAGTGATCGGTGTCGACCATAACACGTTTTTGTTCTAAAATAATAATAAACTAAGAATTTGTTCATGCTTAGCGTGCGTATATCGAGTTATGGATGCACGCGGGAAGTTTGGAGAGCAAGAAAGATGCGTAAGAGTTGCACGAGGCGATAGCCGAGTGCAACTCTAGCTTCTTGAGTGCTCTCCAAACTTCCCAAGTGCATCCATAACTCGATATACGCACAGCTAAAAGCATGAGCAAATTCTTTTATAACATAGCTGACAAAAATGCTTGCTTTTTGATTAACTGCAAAATTCTCGTAACGCGCTACACAATAACAAACGGTTCTATTGGCTGATTACGAACACGCCACAATCGTCAAGTTTAAATGAAAATATTCTTTCTGTAAAACTGAGAAAGAAAGTTTGCCTCTTTATTCGTTAACGATCAATGGAAACTAAACAGAAACAATGGTAAAAGAGTCTTAAAGTTCACCTAAAGTTAAAATACTAACTTGTTCGTAAGAAGTATGTAGAGTATGGTTTGGATTTGCGGAAAAGATGTTTACGTTTTGCTCGGCGAAATCCAGAAAACATGTTTTTAGCGAAGACGACTGTCATCCTTCTTAAAACTTATATTCATTTACGAACATTGGCTGATCATTACGGCTTCTTGAGAAGACCTGGCAGCTGTTGTTTTTGTGAGTAATAAATTTATATCTTCTTGTGTAATTTGTGTTGTTATTGCGAGAGAACTTTTCCTGCTTCAATCGGTTTGGTCGGAGATAACAAAAGTGCATAACAAATTTGAAAACAACAATAAAAACGGAAATTATAACATAGCGCGCGTGCTTGCCCTATATAAGTCCTATTGAGCCGCTATGAACAAAATCTTTATTTACGTACGCCCGTGCGTAAATAAGATGACGTGAGCATTTTTTTTTTTTACCTGGCTGCAAAGTTGTCGTCTTTGAAGCTGCAGTGCAGTTTTCCTTCTCTTTAAAATATGGAAGAAACCAGCGCAGAACTGCCCAATTTTTCTATCGGCATTGTCAACAGAAAGAATGATCTAGAAGGTGAACGGTTCATTACCTCACGGTTGGAAAGTGTCAAAATGTTGAGATTTCACGGTTCTATGACTCGTACAGAAAATTGACCATTGATTAGAGCTAACAAGCAGCATAACTTTCATTTGACCTATGATTTGACTGCTGGTTGCGTCACAGAGAACAGTACCTCTCAGTTTCCGTGGTAAGTACGCTGCTTCCTTTTCAGTTACATAATCAACTACTTCTATTTTCTAAAGTGTATCTCAGTGTTCGTGGCTGAAGCAGCAGTCGGTTAATTGGTGATTAGGCTAGTGCTCTGAGCTCGTCGTCCACATAGCCATAGGGTAAGTTCGAGTTTTCGTTCCCAGAAGCTCATAAGTAAGTTGTGTTTGCGTTTGCTGATGATTCTCGTCCCTGCAAGAGATTGTTAGACTTGCTACAAGTTGATCTCTTGGGGAGCGGAGCGAGCCTTTTTGGCCGCGAAGCGGCCGACCGCGAGCGACGAAGTCGCGAGAGGTCGACTTGTCTCGCTTGATGGGTTTGCATTTGCATTTCGCGCCAAAAATGGGGAGTGGCGTGACTCGCATTTGGGGTTTCAGGTTTCATTAGCCTGTGTACAGCCGCCCCTTACCTCAAAAAAATCGGAAAGGAGCGTCTGTGATTTACCGTTGATAATCGTGTTCAAAAACCACGTGACTTTTTCAGGAATGTGTGGAAAATGATTTGATTGGTTATTTCCCATACATCATTACATCACTGAAATAGCGAGTTTTGATTGGCTTTCATTTTCGCGCGCTTTGCATTTTCGCGCGCTTTGCAATCGGAGCCTTCCGTACAGAATCTTTCACTTTCGTTCGCGACAATAATATGATGTGAGATTTTGACGATGAGTTCGTGCGTTCTTTGTGGCGTAGACATCGTAAAAAACACGGATAAAAATCTTGTTGATGGTCGAAGGGGCAATTCTTTTAAAGTTCGAGAGGAACTGCTGTCTTTGAAGTGTAAAGTCGAAATCAATTCCACGTACATTTGTAGGAAAATTGTTCAGTCGAAGAAGTGTTCTGCTGTTCCATTACCAGTCCCAAAGCCTTCCTCAAACCAGATCAGCGACTCCCAAGAGCAAGCTACAAAGCGTGTTGCCTTAGAGGAGTTTAGAGCGTCTGTTACGTCTGTGGATATCGAGGAAGATAACAGCACGTTGCCAAATAAAACATCGGTAGATCAATGGCCAAGTACTCTCGAGTCAACACCTTGTAAGGAGAAAAATCGTCCTGTCGCCTTTGCTGCGGTAGTTGGACCTGTTTCGCCGATTCCTGCTCGTGAACCCGAGGAAAAGAAGACTCGTGTACAAGTCACTGTCGAATGGCCCAGCCGAACAAAAGTGAATACTCTTCACGAAGGATTAGAGTCACTCGGCAAGATGCTTTGTCGCGGAACATTCCTTTCCGATTTTTTTTGAGGTAAGGGGCAGCTGTACACAGGCTATGCCATCCGAAGTCGGGTTTCCAATGACTTTGACAAGCGGTGCATTTGTCAACAAAAAGCACAATAAACAAACCAGCCATGAATTACAGAACTATCTTGATAGCAGCTGTATTTCATTTTGTACAGCAAGTGGAAAAAGAGAGGTTTAAAACATAACAAGATGACACAAAACTCTGTCAGCTTCAGCTATCAGTAAGCAAGTTTCCAGACGCTGCATAAATTTTCCGAATGAACTCATCTGTCAAATTTTGACCAATCAGAACATAAAAATTGGACGTAGAGCGTGATCAACGCGTGACAGTGAGAAAAGTCAAAAACGATTGCCTTCCCTGCATGTAAAGGCCGGTTGAATTTTCGCGTCCGAGGTCAGTTCGAAATCAAAATTTTAAAAGTGCGGCTCATGAACACGACTTATTTCACACCTGCATTTTAAAAAAATTGAACTTGAGCCTGAGATCATTTGAAAAGTAGCAACTTGTCAGCGGATAACTTCAAAAAACACTCGAACTCAGTGGGTCGATACCTGAGCCCGCGATACGGTCAGGCGATACTGGTCAGCAGAAACACTATTTTGACAGCTGTCAATTAATCAAAACATGGATGTACAATATCAGGTTGCAGGCTCCCAAACTAGCTAGAAAGTGTGAGATTAAACATTGGTATGCCTGTGGTGCGGACGGACGGAAGGTCGGGTGGTCGATGTACGGTCACGTGATTGCGAATTTTCTCGGATGGATAAATGGATAGATTTTCTAAGCTATGGGTGACCTCAATGGATAGAAAAATGAGCCCGCGATACAGTCAGGTGATGATGGTCAGCGTATACTCTAGTTTGACAGCTGTCAATTAACCTTTATTAGAATGGCGAATATTCGAATTAACAGACTACGAGTGTGAGTAAGACATATCCGTCCGGCTTGTAGTGGAAAATGCCAGATCGTGTACCTGAGCGAACCTGAGCCCACGTTATTAGTTTTCTGATAGTGGTCTGCACATATCCCATTTTGACAGCTGTCAACTGACCTTACTTTAGTTTGCCAAAATAACTTTAAACAACTGTCAGCCGACAGACAGCCCTGCCCGGGGTAGTTTCATTTTTATGTTGAATTGGTAAGTGTGACATATTATATCAGCTTACATGTTTGATGTGAGCCCGCGAGATGGTCATGTGATAATTGTCAGCGGATGTCTGATTTTGACAGCTGTCAATCTAATCGTACTCATACGGATGGCTTACAAAACTGAAAGGCTAGTCAAGTTGTGCAAGATCTATGGTGACATTTGACATCGGCTTACATGAAGTGTGTGTACGGGTGGGCGGGCGTACGCTACGTCATAACCAAATTTTCTCGGATGGATAGTTTACCAAATTTTGTTACCCATGGTGCTCCGCTGTGCGCGCTTCGCGCGCGGGAGCTCCGCTATGAAGGAAACTAGTACCCTGCCAATCTCAGGAGAAAGTTGGTTGTCTCACTTCCAGTCACTACACTCAAACCACAGGTAGCGCAAGCTCGAAATATGAGCTTTTGCGAGCATCGGCATTGTTGCCTAACATTCGAAATATAGGGATTTGTATGGGGGAAAAATCTCTGACGAAAAAAAACATCTGACAATGGCAGGCGAAGAATATTCCACAAGTAGCATTAAGTAAACAGCTAGCTAAGCAAAAATTCAAGTCACTGGACGATTAAAAACAAACTTTAAGATAAAAACAGAAAAACACCTATGTGGAAGAATAAAGACAAACATTAACTCATGTAATTTAAAAAAAAGAAACTTAAAATGAAATACAAATCTTGAAAATAACTTTCAAAATACTTCACAACAGTATCACCCTTTACTACAATTACATTCATTAGGTCATTTGAATGTTTAACGGTGATTTGCAGTTTCCTACGTCTTGATCAGAAGTTGAAGTTTTCCGGTTGAAATGTTAGTATTACCCTGGTCGCTGAGGTTTTTCTTGAAATGTGTCTCTTTCTCACGTGGAATAAAATTTCGGAGAGCAGTAAACGTTTGTATTTAGATGATTAAGCATACTGACTTTATTTACGGATACGTTTGCCTTAAACCATTTCGGCCAACACGCCAAATTCTAATTTATTATTCTTTTTTTCTTTCAGCGTCAATAGGGTCTGCTAGTACCAACTGTGAAGTTTTCAACATGCCAGCCAATCCTTCTTGTGGAATTCCAGTTGTAGACTTTAGCGCAATGGGTCTAGAGGTCAAGGATCCAGATCTAAGCAGCCAAGCTGTTAAAGACCTTGCTAATGAAGTGTACCAAGCTTTCAGCACAATTGGAGTCGTTTATATTACAAACTATGGAATCCCACAAGAAACGGCAAGTCTATCCTGTTCTAGTCAATAAGCAGATCCAGGGGAGGGGCCTGGGGGGTCCGGTACCCCCTCGTTAGTTTTAAAAAATCTTTTGAGACCGCCCTCACCACCCCCGTTATCTGAAGGTCTGGATCAACCACTGCTAATCACTTCTTGTAAGAACTATCGAGTGGATCGGACCCAATTAAATTTATACTTCACAGTCGTGTCTCTGAGAGATACTAAGGGAATTCGATTCACCTTTTAGAGAAATTATGGGTCAAAATTCGCCTTAAGTAAAATCGTCTCTTAGGCGGTCTTGAAATACGCTGGGGCATCCAATCGATCAGTTCCTCAAAATATCTGTTCTTGAGGCAAATTTTTGCTGATTGGGAGATGTTGAAAAAATATTCTGTCCATAGAAGGAAAACGTTGCTGGAAAATGGACAAATAAGGGTGTTTGAGGGGATTTGGTGTCTAGAATAGTAAAATACCCTCACTGCACACCTATTACCCTGTCACGGAGAACTAAGTCATGGAAAGATGCCGCGACTGTGAGGGCAATAGGCGTGCCGAACATAGCGTAAAGGTGAAGCCAACCGCCACCAGGGGAGGTGGGAGGGGCGAAACTTAAACGCCACTTTCACCGAACTTCGTAGAACTGGCCAGGAAGCGGCTAAAACCGAGCTATTTGAAGCGAGGGCCGCAAGGCATTATGCGCGGCAGCACGCAGGCCCAGCAGGACGTAATTTAACTGATTTAAACCTTCCCGTACTACGGGCTAATTATGTATGCAGTGAGAATAGTTGGCATGCCGGCTATGGGCTATATGTCACAAACCTCTTGCGTGGGGTGAATTTTTTGCCCTATGACCATACTCGAACTGGCCAATAACGTCTGGCAAGAGCCATAATAGGATAGAGAGGGACTCTCCCAGTCACGCCTTTGGGATATCTTAATTTCAAAAAAGTTATTTTTAGAACTATGCGGACCTTGCGGAAACAGTTTCCGGTAACCTGGTTGACTTCTGGAAGATTCAGCGCCAAAGCGAGGCCGCGTCAAGAAATGAATAAAATGGCTGCCTAAGTGGAGGGACGATACTTGATAAATTGTCCTTCTTCAACGAAGAACCTACCATAGAAACTGGTTAAAACTTCTACACAAACGGATCCTTTACAAGAAATGGTAGAAATCGGTTAAAGGGACCGCGTGACCATCGTTTTTGTTTGAACAGCTGGAAAGAGGACAAGTAGCATTGCGGCCCGGATATAAAGCGTTGCACACAAAACACTCGGGTCCTACAAAGACGACCATACAAGCAACCATGTGGACGTATTTTCTATTGAAAGAGGAAGGAAAAGAACGTATAAAGGTTTCCAGTATTTTTGTCAAGGACATGACCAGGGATCATGTGGAAAACACCTTTTCCTGCTTTGACTGATATTTTGTACCGTGCTTCACATTGGACAATTAACAATTAAGCACTTTGATATTCTTGAACACGAGGTGAAATATATTTTTCAGGCACAAATATATTATGCAATGGAGCGAATATGTTTTATTAGACATATATATATTATGCAATGGTACAAATATTGTTTTTCAGGCATAAATATATTATGCAATGGTACGAATATATTTATTAAAACCAATATAAATTGAATGACAATATCGTCCCATATGGCGCCCGATAAAAATCGGTATGTGCAAAAGTTTGATTTACAGAATTTTGAAGCATTGCAAATCAAATCGCAGTTAAAAAATTCTTTCGCACACAATGACCTAATGGGTTATATGGAATCGCCAGAACTTTAAATTCTGCTTCCCAGCCTGTGAAGAAAAGAAGAGCTTTTTTTCATCTGTCGACTCGCGAAGTCAGGGAAAAAGGTTTCTTGCATCGTGCAGCTTGTGTTGTTCTTTAATAAGTGTGGACAATGGTGGCCCGGTTGCTCGAGGTAAGGCGCCGTTTCTCTGTAGTTTTCTTGACATTGAAATCTCGAAATTTCGTAAAGATTTGCTTTTATTTTTTTTGTCATAAGTTGAATTTGATTTCTGGGGAAAATCCGCCTTTGAAGGAAACGTTGAGTTTACAAAACCATCTCTTCTATTCAATTAAACTGTAATTGTCAACATTCCATCGAGCAAAAATACTGCTCAGTAAAGTTAATCGGAAAACGCTCTTTTGAATACTTTGAAGTCTTTTCTTACCTTCAAAAAATGGATCGTAGGATTTTGCCGAATTCTGAAAGGTTCTTACTCTAAAAAAGACTGGCAAAACACCGTTCTAACGCATTAGTTACTCGCGAGGCTAAAACACTACAAAGACCACTGAGTGTGTATCCTGAAAACGGTTTTTGCTTGTAAAAGCTTTATTTGTGTAAGGTTATTTGTGTTTTTTCATGTTGCAAACGGTGTTGAAATAAATACGACAGTATGATAATCTCATCTGGAGTTTATTTACTTTATGTGGTTTTACCAAGCCTCATATTTTCCTCATAGACCTGTAATAATTAACCTTTACAGATCCTGCACCACAATGTGTAGGTAAGATTTTCATACAACCCCAAACATTTGTTATGTGTGTTAAATAATATAAGCTTGCTGCAATGGATAAAAAATGTAGGGGTTTGACTGCAAATCGTACGACAGCGTAATTCAAGCTTCAGGCATTCATGGATGCATAGGATCTTTTGATGTTGTGTTTGCCACTTATTGATCCAGCAAGTTTTCTCTATTTTACTACTTAAGCACTTATGGTTTTAGGTGTCGGCTGCTGAATGTAGTGTTGTTTTTTTTTTTTTCCTCATAGAAAGCTCTCAAAAGTATGAAGAATAAAAACTACTGCAATAAGTTCAAACTGTGTATCTCGCTGAGTTGTGTCTTATTTTTTATACCCCCCTCCGACACAGAAAAAAAATACAAACCTAATTACTCTTTTTCTATAGTGTACGGCAAAACCTGCATATTTAAGCGGACTCCATATTAAAAGTTACATCCTATGTTAAGCAGATGAATAGCTCAGTATGTTTGAAAAGTTTCTAACCATATTTTCAGAAAAAAAACGTTTTCAAAAATAAATGTATCCATACCCATTTTAAGGGGTATTTTCTTTGTGTTAAAAGGTTTCAACCAATCATAAGAGCTGCAAACAATAGCCAGCTGAAGAAAACTTTACGTAAATTTTAAGTTCCTGACATGGGATATCTGTTTTATTCAGACTCATGAGAATTTGTTATAAGGATTCATATACACGCTGCTTTGCAAAATTTTCTTGAATTTTGCTGCCTAAACGAATCAGAAGTATAGTACAGACAATAGTAAAGTGAGCACCTTTTTGTATTTCAACATGTTTAAACATTGACTTTATTGATTTTAATGTTGCATTCTAATGCTCTTAAAGCCGAGTCTGCAGGCAGAGCAAGTTTGTGTAATCTTTTGCTTTTAAGGCAACCACCGTGGCACCCCAAT